TTTTTTTTGCTTTATTTTGTGTCAGGCCCAGCTAAAAAGGGATTTTTCTGCAATAACAATTGTTTTCCCTCGCTCAAATTTGATGTATTTTTACAAAAGCATGAAAATTGGCAACGTTTTAAACTTTTCTTTTAAAGTTTTAAGTTTTAAACTTAAGCATTTTTTTCAAGTTTTAATGGGTTTTATTTCAAGAATAAATCAAGTTCTGTTGAAAATTCATGGATGAGTTTGCAAATAACCTGCGTGATTTGATGATGTGTTTCTATTGAAATGCTTTGGTTTTTAAAAGGAAAAATTAGGTGAAAAATAAGTTTTAATTCTTATTATTAAACCATTTTGTAGAAATAACGATGCTGAGGTTCATTTCCAGTTTAATGCTCTATTTTGTGATGTTATTCCAAGTCAAGGTTTGATTAATTAGAGGAAATAAATGAGATATTGGACGTGTCCTGCAAGATCAGCTGTGCCTGTGCTCAGCAGGGTTTTTGTTGCCATAATCCCACAAAATCTCACATTTTGCCTAAATCCTGGATGGGGCAAACACTCCAAACACATTTTTTATTCAGCTTCCTGTTTGTTTCTGGGCATTTCGTTCAAAAGTCTCCGTAAATCCAATTATTATCAAATAAATTGGGATATTTGAGGATGTGCTGGGAGATATTTGTGCTGAATTGGGGATTTCTGCAGTGATTTAAACCTTTCCTGTGGTTGGGGTTTGTGGAAATCCTCAAAGCTCAGAATTTTCAAGCTCAAACCCTGCCTTCATTGGCAGCATTTGATTTGTTTTACCCCAAAAAAAGGGGTAAAAAAAGAGGTAAAAAAAAGAGGTAAAAAAAAGGGGTAAAACTGTGTCAGGTGCTCAAAAAGGTTTGGGATTGGGGTTTTCAATGAGCCTGGGACTGGAGGAAACCCCAGAAAACGCCAAACTCTGGGTGAGCACTGAGAGCCCTGAGGTTCTTCAGAGTTTTATAAAAGTTTGTGAATACATTTTACAGATAAATGAGAGCATCTGGGTGTGTTTTTGGGATTGCTAAAGAACCCAGAATATTCCCATAAAATCATTATCGGCATTTGATTTGTTTTACCCCCAAAAAAGGGGTAAAACTGTGTCAGGTGCTCAAAAAGCTTTGGGATTGGGGTTTTTAACGATTTGGGACTGGAGGAAACCCCAGAAAACTCCAAACTCTGGGTGAGCTCATTCAGAATTTTATAAAAGTTTGTGAGCACATCCCAGACTTGAGAGATGAATGAAAGCATCTGGGTGTGTTTTNACTCCAAACTCTGGGTGAGCTCATTCAGAATTTTATAAAAGTTTGTGAGCACATCCCAGACTTGAGAGATGAATGAAAGCATCTGGGTGTGTTTTTGGGATTGCTGAAAACCCCAGAATATTCCCATAAAATCATTGGCAGCATTTGATTTGTTTTACCCAAAAAAACCGGGTAGAACTGTCAGGTGCTCAAAACACAAAAAATTTTGGGATTGGGGTTCTCAATGAGCCTGGGACTGGAGGAAACCCCAGAAAACGCCAAACTCTGGGTGAGCTCATTCAGAATTTTATAAAAGTTTGTGAACAGATCTCAGACTTGAGAGATGAATGAGAGCCTCTGGGTATGTTTTTCCCATAAAGTCATTGTCAGCATTTGATTTGTTTTACCCCAAAAAGAGGGGTAAAAAAAGGGGTGAAACTGTGTCAGGTATTAAGACCACAAAAAGCTTTGGGATTGGGGTTTTTAACGRGCCTGGGACTGGAGGAAACCCCAGAAAACTCCAAACTCTGCGTGAGCTCATTCAGAATTTTATAAAAGTTTGTGAACAGATCTCAGATTTAAGAGATGAATGAGAGCATCTGGGTGTATTTTTGGGATTGCTAAAGAACCCAGAATATTCCCATAAAATCATTGGCAGCATTTGATTTGTTTTACCCCAAAGAAAAGGGGTAAAACTGTGTCAGGTGCTCAAAAAGCTTTGGGATTGAGGTTTTTAACAAGTCTGGGACTGGAGGAAACCCCAGAAAACGCCAAACTCTGGGTGAGCTCATTTGGAATTTTATAAAAGTTTGTGAACAGATCTCAGATTTGAGAGATGAATGAGAGCTTCTGGGTGTGGTTTTGGGATTGCTAAAAAACCCAGAATATTCTCATAAAATCATTGGCAGCATTTGATTTGTTTTACCCCCAAAAAAGGGGTAAAAAAAAGGAGTAAAACTGTGTCAGGTACTCAGAACACAAAGCACTTTGGGATTGGGGTTTTTAAGGAGTCTGGGACTGGAGGAAACCCCAGAAAACTCCAGACTGGAGTGGGTGTGTTTTTGGGATTGCTAAAAAACCCCAGAATATTCCCATAAAACTTCTTTTTGCTTTTCCCTGCAGCATCTACATCGGCAANAAATGAAGGGAAAATACAGGAAAATGCAGGGAAAGTGCAGGAAAATACAGAAAAAAATGTAGGAAAATGCAGGAAAATGAAGGGAAATGCAGGAAAGCACAGGGAAATGAAGGGGAAATGCAGGGAAATACAGGAAAATGCAGGGAAAGTGCAGGAAAATACAAGAAAATGCAGGGAAATGAAGGTAAATGCAGGGAAAAGCAAGGAAAATGCAGGGAAGTACAGGGAAAATTAAGGGAAAATGCAGGGAAATGTAGGGAAGCACAGGGAAATGCAGGAAAATGAAGGGGAAGTGCAGGGAAATGCAGGATAATGCAGGAGAATACAGGGAAATGAAGGAAAATGCAGGAAAAACGACTCAGCTCCAGCCAGAGCCCGGCCGGGCCCGCAGCACCGTGAAAGAGCAGCAGAGAATTCCAGGCTGGGGCTCRATAACCTCGAGCTGTGCCAGGGGAGGCTCCGGTTGGGCATCGGCAGGAATTTCCTCATGGAAAGGGTGGGAAGGGGCTGCCCAGGGGGGTTTTTGGGGTGCCCAAGGAGGTGGCACTCAGATTTCAGGGCTGGGAATCGGGCACGGCTCAGATTCGACGCTCTTGGGTTTTTTTTCCAACCTCAATCATTCTGGAATTCTTTTTTCTGCTTTTCTCTGTGAATTAACCCGGACAAGCCCTAATTTTTAGCACCCACGAGAAAAACTCAGCACCGGAGACTCTCCCAGCACCCACTGCCGGGCAGAAAACGAGCACGGGCAGCTGATTGTGAGCAATTTGCGGCAAAAATCTCTCTTTTTACCAGCCAGGCAGCGCYCTGAGAGCAGAACTGTAATTATCGGCTGCTTTTCACTCGGAAATCCAACAATCGGCACAATCGGGGCGGCTCCCGGCAGCGGAGCCCTGAAGGAGTCTCTTGTGCTCCACGCACGCAGCTTCAAACCTAAAAAGTCCCGCGAGTACAAAGAGGTTTTTATGTCCCATTCTTTGGAAAAAAAAGAAAAAAAAATTATCTGAGCGCCGCTGCAGCTCCGGCCGCGCCACAATTTAGGCTTTAATTGAGTCCGCAAAACTCAGCTCTCTGGGTGTTCATCTGGCAGGAACTTTGTTCCCACCTTATCAGGGTTTCTAAAAGTATCAGTTTTAATCTGTTTTGAACAATTTTAAGGAGGAATGTGTCACCGGAGCTCCATCGGGAGCTGCAGGAACGCTCCGTGCTCGCCCGGCGGGGCAGAGCGCGGCTCCCTCTGACCTCCCGTCTGTAGAAAACGAGTTTTTATCTCACTCAGCATCTTTGGGAGCGATCGCTGCTCTCAGAGCAYCCTCCAGAACTTCAGGGGGAGTTCTCAGACAGAAACACCCGGGAGATGGTGCCGGGTTTGGAGCTGATCATGGTTTAGCCCGCACCATTCTTGTACCTGTAAATGACAGAGCGCAGGATCTTGGAATGGTTTGGGTTGGAGAGAGCACAAAAATCCCCTGATCCCATCCCTGCCAAGGCCAGGCGCACCGAGCACAGAATTCTGGAATGGTTTGGGTCAGAGTGGGATAAAAAATCCACTGATCCCACCCGGGGGCACCGAGCACAGGATCCTGGAATGGTTTGGGTTGGAGAGAGCACAAAAATCCCCTGATCCCATCCCTGCCATGGACAGGGGCACCGAGCACAGGATCCTGGAATGGTTTGGGTCAGAGTGGGATAAAAAATCCCCTCATCCCCACCCTGTCAAGGCCAGGGGCACCGAGTACAGGATCATGGAATGGTTTGGGTTGGAGAAGGATCAAAAATCCTCTGATCCCACCCAGGGGCACTGAGCACAGGATCCTGGAATGATTTGGGTTGGAGTGGGATCAAAAATCCCCTGATCCCACCCCTGCCATGGCCAGGGGCACCAAGCACAGGATCCTGGAATGATCTGGGTTGGAGGGGGATCGAAAATCTGCTGATCCCACCCAGGGGCACCAAGCACAAGATCCTGGAATGGTTTGGGTTGGAGGGACCTCAAAAATCCCCTCATCCCACCCAGGAACAACAAGCACAGGATCCTGGAATGGTTTGGGTTGGAGAGAACTCAAAAATCCCCTGATCCCACCCAGGAGCTCAAACACCATCCCTGAGTGCTCCAAGCCTGGTCCAGCCCGGCCCTGGACATTTCCAGGGATCAGGAGCAGCCCCAGCTCTGTGCCAGGGTCTCTCCATCCTCCCCGGGAGGAATTTCCTCTGCAGATCTCCCACAAATTTCCCCTCTTTCACTTCGGACCCGTCAGTCCTCACCCTGGCACCGCAGTTTGTGATGGAAATGTGAAATTCCTTCAAATCCTCCCTCCCTGCAGCCCCYGAGCACCCCAGCTCCAATTACTGCAATTGCTAATTAACGGCGGGCAGAGCTGCACTCCCATCCGGGACTGAAGAGCTCAMGGGGTCAGGAAAAACACCCAAACCTGGGCAAGATTCGGTGTCAGCCACTGAAACTGAAAAYTGTGACACAAACAGGGACTCCAAGAGGTGTTTGGGCAGAAAGGAGCAGCAAACACGAGGGAATGGAGAAATTCCAGAGCACAGGAGGAGAATGGAGAACTGCCAGAACCTGGGACGAGGATGGAGATTTCCAGAGCCTGGGAGGAGAAATTCCAGAGCACAGGAGGAGGATGGAGAACTGCTAGAACCTGGGACGAGGATGGAGATTTCCAGAGTCTGGGAGGAGGACGGAGAAATTCCAGAAACTGGGAGGAGGATGGAGAACTTCTAGAACCTGGAAAGAGGGTGGAGGAGAAGTTCCAGAGCATAGGAAGAGGATGGAGAACTTCTAGAAACTGGAAAGAGGATGAGGAGAAGTTCCAGAGCCTGGGAGGAGGACGGAGAAATTCCAGAGCACAGGAGGGGGATGGAGAACTTCCAGAAACTGGGAGGAGGATGGAGAACTTCTAGAACCTGGAAAGAGGATGGAGAAGTTCCAGAGACTGGGAGGAGAAGTTCCAGAGCTCCATAGGAAGAGGATGGAGAACTTCTAGAAACCAGAAAGAGGGTGGAGGAGAAGCTCCAGAGTCNGCGTTTGGACTCATCTTAAAGAGGGACAATCTCGCAGGTGCAGAAAGGTTTTCAGAAGTTGTCAGAGCTCTGAAATGACTTCTGCAAAAGAATTTTCAATATTCCTCTCTTTTTTTTTTTTTTTTCTCTCTCATTGTTTACTGTACAATCTCCTTTTTGGGGATATTTGGAACCTGAAAGTCGCTCGTGGTGTCTCATGTTTTAGGGTAGCTTTCTCACTGATGTCGTGGAATTTTATTTTTTTTTTTCTCTTAGGGAACATTTAAGCCTCGTCCTCCTTCGGTGACACTTCTTTTCAAAAAAAAAWAWWWWAAAAATGTGAAGCTTTAGTACCAAATTGTTACAAAGCATCGRGGACGGCCGTGTCCTTAAATAGATTTTATTGGATTTCAGAACATGTAGCATGAACTCTGAAGGATAGAATACTCTTTTTTTATATATATATGAATATATTAAAAAAAAAATATGATATAGACTTTAATACTAAGTATTTAGGGAACCAATGCTAATTTTAAGACTAGCAAAAATCTCATTTAAATAAAAAACTTTAGTAGGCTGACTTGTAGAAAATAAGAAAATCTGGTCAGCCTTTTGAAGAGAACAGCTACTATAATTGTTTGCTTGCATCAGATTTATATAAAATTGATTATTTGATAGAGCAGTGATTGCTTGAACAGGTGGTGCATAGAAGATAAATCCCAGCTGAGATTTGGGTTAAAAAAACCCCTTTATTTTGCTCCCAGCAAGTGAAAAAGTGAAGTTTGACCCCACTGCTGAACTCTATTTTTATTTTTATTCTCTATTTCTCGATGCTGTCAGAGAATTCTTGCAGGGTGAACAGCAAATCCTTAAAAATCTGCTTTTTTTAATTTTTTTTTTTTTTATTTTAGTGGTGTTTGAGCTGCCCACGGGTTGGTTTGGGGTCGGGGGTGTTTTTGGGGTGCACCCAAAGTGGGGACGGGCAGGGGAATGTGGTGGAGGGGATTTAGAGAGCATCAAAAAATTCCTTTTTACARCCCTAAAATCCGAGGGGACGGGAGAAAGGCTGGAAAACTCTCAGTTCTGACACAGCACCTTGTTTTGTATGATGGAAAAAGAGATTTTTACTGAGTTGGGAGTATTTTTAAAAGAGAAAAACCCCAAGAAAAACCCCAATAAATTACCCRTTTAGAAATTAAAAGCTAATTCTTCAGAAAATCTGATAAATACCAGTGCAAGCTCATGGATCAATTTGGAGTAAAACCTGTGAAACCCAGAGCTGAGGAATGGTCACTGAGATTTATCTTTATTGATAAATAAAGAATTTAAAAATAAAGAATTTAAAAATAAAGAATTCTCCGAGCTTTGGGGGTGAAATCTGCAGCTTCCAGTTTGACAATGAACAGAAATGAGAGCGTTGTATCATTCCAAAAAGAAGGGGGGTTTCAACTATTGAGAGTTGAAAGTTTTGTTAAGATAAAATATTGTTTTAAAAAAAATAAAATTTAAAAAAAAAGCTTTATACCTGTTTACAGTTTTGGAAAAAAAAAAGGTAAAAAAAAAAAAAGGCTTCCTTTTTTCTTACACTCAGTGAAAAACTGGCCTAGACTATTTGTAAATAGGATCAAGAAAAAAAAATAAAAAAATGCATAAACTCGCACATTAAAGATGCAGCAAATGCATATTTACTGACTGTTTTCAAAAGTGAAAGCTGAAGATTGTTCGAAATTCCAATTATTATTTTTTTTTTTTTTTAATTTTTTTTTTAAATTGACATTCGTTGAACTATTGGAGTTAACTGAGCCAAAGTGATTGTGCRTTTTTCATCGATCAGTTAGCACTTTGTAACATTATCTACAGTTTACATGTATGAGTTGTAGCTTATCGACATTTTTGTGCCATTAAAGCTCTCACAAAACTTCTGGTCTCAAATCGCTTCGTGCTGCGCCTTTTTGTTTGTTTTTTCTCTTTTTTTTTTTATTTTTTTT